CCCCAAAACCCCAAAACCCCAAAACCCCAAGATGAATTTTATAATCTGCTAATTCTTGAATGTAATATAAATTATAATGGAGCAAGTTAATCAGTCAGATAAGATGAAGCAGAAATTTTGCAGATTTTGCTATGAATCTACTGATTCATCTAAAATTGATTTTCAAAATTAGTGTATTGGGAAAAGATTGATTGCTCCATGTCTGTGCAAAGGCTCGATAAAGTATATTCACATAGATTGCCTTAAAAATTGGCTAAAATACTCTTCGCAGTACTTGCAAAAGTGTCAACTTTGCTAATCCTACTATGCCAATATTTCTAATAAAAGATCATTCTAATAGATGTTCATAAAGCTTTTAAATATACTCAAGAAAAATGGTGTCTATATAATCAAAGATCTGTTTATTCTCTTTCTTATACTCACATTTATCGTGGGTACAGTGCTTTATCTGTATAAATATCATAAAAAGAAGGAATCATACGCACTGAATATAGTTCTGACAGCATTTGTATCGAGGATGACAGGTGTAGAATTTTTAGAAGCCATCAAAGTCAGGATTCTTAAGATTTCTTATTACTTACAAAAAATAATCTACAAAAAGTAGTATATTGATGCCAATAGAAAAAATGATGCTGAGGAATCATAAGGAAAGAGGAAGTTCTAGGCAACAAAAATGATATAGGAATATCTAGAAAAGAGCTTGAAGTAAAATGATGTAATATTTCGAATACAATGACTAATTTATTAATAGGTTAAAGACTACTGTCAAAATTAAGCAAGAGGCCCTTATGAACGAAGTGTAAATAGAATCACAAATTAGAATCAAGAGCAGCAGGTTAGTGAGATGAGTATGGATTATTTCGGTTTCCGAAGCTATATGTGCAAGAGATCAAGATCAAATGAAGATTTCTTTGACAATCAGTGAAAGAGAATAATATATTATGAGTTAAAAAAACAATACTGATCAATCTTTTTTCAGAAATTTAAAAATTAACTTCATTATGCTAATTTAAATCTTTTGCTCTAAAGTTGACCATGGGGTTTTGGGGTTTTGGGG